TACATGTGCAGTATCTGCAGAGCAGAACTTGCCTTCCACAGCAATTATTTTTAGTTAGCAAATAGCTAAAATCTAACGCTGGTTATACAACAGCAGCTGCATTCTGACGTGATAAGCTGTATGTTTTACGTATATTCAATTAACGTATGATCCGATTAGTCGACTAATCGAATAAATAATCTGTGATTAATCGATTATTAAAATAATCGTTTGTGGCAGCCCTAATTAGAAGTGCCTCAGAGTAGTTTCACTCACTAAGGCAGCTACTGACTGTCAAAGAAACTGTCTAATCTAAGCACAGTAAGCTTCATGAGTGTGAGACACCTTTATCTACTTCCTGATACTCAGTTCTTAAAATCTACACAGCCAGTTGTTTTCTTGGACCTTTTCGTGAATACTGCTTAGTGCCGTCTACCAGATATGGTGCACAATGGTTTGTGGGATTGTTTGGGGACAACCAACAGTGAAGTCAATGATGGACACGTTCTCAAACTTTGAAGTTTAGACTGTTGTGCAGTTTAAAATGTTTCTTTTGGTTCATGATGCATCAACTTCTAATCAGGAAAAATACAAACTGGTCCAAAACTTTTGCAGTGCTCAAATGTTAGGATTAGTGCTTAAAATAGCAGAAAATGGTTTGAAGACGCAAAATAAAGGTAAAGTTATACTACTGTCCAATAATAATGTAATGACTACTATACAGTATCTCACAATATCAAATATTGGTAGCACTGTGCTACATTGCTAATGCTAGGTCCTAGCCACTTATCCTGTTGTCTCAATCTCCGATGGTGCAAAAAAAGAATTTGCTGGTGCTAGGTCTTAGCTAGGCGGGCCACCAGGACTGTTATACACTGGAAGAAACCCTGCATATAGATGGCACAGCGATGTCCACGACCCGTTTTCACACTCATTCAGGTCTGTATCGGCACCGGAAGCCCCCGAATAGAACCATTATGCTGTCCATTAAGCAAAGTTGGCGGTTACAAAACAGTGTACTCGAAGTTGGAATTATTGAAGCAATTTTCCCAAACTGGACCTTTCATTCACACTACAATCTTAACACTTTTAAATGCACCACTAGCTGATTTTCCATTGACCATGAAAACGCACAAATTAGAATTTCGAAAATAAATTTGCTCAATGGAAACACGTCAATTTTGAAAAAACTTCCTTTGTTCGACATAACGGTTTTGCGTTAGGATGAGGTGGTTTTTCAGTCGTATCAAAATTGGTGTTTTCCGCAAAATTGCAATGGAAACACTTTTTCCGCATCACGGGAGTCACATGATCAACAACCAGCTGTTTCTACTGGTAAAAAAGACGAAGAAGAAGATAACAGGAATTTGAAGTAGTAGTAAAATCACCAAATTAGTAAAAGAAAGTAGTAAACTCACCGACTACAATTTCCCAAAAACGCCGCATAAATAGCTGCTCCCAAGTATAAAAGGCTTGTTGCTGGAAAGCCTCGATAAGACGCCGACGTCTCCTCTGATGGCTGATGATGAGCGCTAGTGTTGTGCTAGCAATATGCTATGTGTTTACATCCATTGCCGCCATGTTTGTAATGACTTATCACGAGAACAAACTTAGTCACGCGTGACTTTAATAGCAGTTCTTACTTAATGGAAACACTGCAATTGCAAAACTGTGTTTTTTCTAACAAAATATCAACAAAGTTTTGGCACATTTGCAATGGAAACACAGCTACTGATCATTTACTAATAGCAAATTTTCCTTGTAGAGTTTTCTCCAGTTTATGAGGTTTTTCTACTCCTGGTTTATTACATTTAGGAATCATGCCGTCATGGGGAAAATGAAATTCCTCCTTCTTTCATTTTCAGCATTTTACACATCAAGAACAATTAAAATTGATTTCATTTTTAACAGATTATAAAACGATTAAAACCCAGCCTCCCAAGTGTACAAAAGCACACAACATATTTCATCATGTCTGAAACCAAAATGGAAAAGCTGTGTAACACTTTATATCTACCTCATGGTTCAACAAGACTGTCTGAACATTAAGTAGAACTAAATTGATGAGACTTTATTAGTCTCTTACAAAGCTCTGGATGAATTTAGTACCATTCAAATCCAACAAGTTGATGAAAACATCTTTAATATTTAATCATTTTTTATCGATACACAATTTTACCCATTTTGTCACATAACTGGCCTATTTTGGGGCCAAAGTGAAACAGGAAGTAACAACAAAAGGGAACTCTACTGGGGAAGTCTCTGATGTTTGTTTATATGAACTCTGACTCTTCGTCTCTCTAATAGTGACTCAAAATAATCTAAAGAAACGTCTGATTCTTTGCTCATGTCTGTGTTTAGAGTCCTCTGTTTGCATGCAAGCATTCCCCTTTGTCATCTTTCACTGTCAGGGCACATGCAAATATCTCAACTGTTCAGCAGCATGAGGATTTTTTCTTTTGCAGGATGTTATCAAAGTTATCTGTCTAATAATGCATTATTTATTACAAACATTTGACATCACAGGTGCTTTAATTAAATAACAGTATTGTAAAAGTATTTTTTTTTTTTTAGTTATAACGAGGTTTAGCTCCTCTTTAATGTCACTGAACGTTAGTGATCCAATCACAAGAAGTTGATGTGCTTGCATGCCCAGCGTAAAAAAAAAGAAGCTTTTTACAAATCCCCTGCTGGGCATAAATGTTTCACAATCGAAAGGCCGTGTTGAGTGAATGAATGAAGGCTTTGTGCAGTCCTCCCTGGCAGCAGCTCTGTGGCTCTGTGGAACATGTTGTTCTCCACAAGTGGCCTCAGATCTGCTCTCCTGCCTGTTGCTGTTGCTTCCATTTGGACTGGAAAGAAGCTTAAACGGTGTAAACATTCCCAGTTAATAACATTAGTTTCCTAACTGAAGGGCAGCATTGTAAGCCTTCTCTTCATTTAAAAGGGCACAAAGTCTTAGATTCAATCATGACTTATTTACTGTGTATGCCCACAATCACATCATTATTTTATTCATATTATATTTCTAATGAGTAATCCTAAAAAGAAAAAGAAAGAGGTTGGGATTGAGGTCAGAACTAGACTCAAAGTGACAGCTGTCTGCACCCAAAATTGGGATCAGAAAGAACACAAAAAAGATCAGAAAGAACAACAACACAGATCAGGTTTGTGTGACCGATCACTCCAGATCAGAGGCTCACAGGTTCAAAGCAAGATATATCTGCAGAAAGTCATTTATCCAACCCTTATAAAAAATAAAAAGTGAGGCTGTGAGTTTTACAGTATATTTCTGTGTGGCTCTGTAGGGTTACAGAAAGCCAAACTTCAAAGACCTCGCCACAGACCAGTCCCGGTACCAGCGCTGGCTGATGAAGAATGAGTCCAAGGCCTTCTACACCCCAGTGTTTGCTGAGGACCTGAGAGAGGGCGCTCAGTTCCTGCTCCAGGTAGGAATCAGCTCAGTGATGCAGGTTTATTTAGGGTTGGGCATAATCGTATCGTGGGCAATTAATCGTCAGAAAAACATTAATCGATTATTTTTTGGCACTTGACGATTAATACGATTAACGCCACCAGGCAGAGTCCACTCGCTGCTCCTCTCTGCTCCAAATATGACAAACATTTTTTTTTTAAAAGTTCAGTAATTTATTTATCTATCAACACAATTTAAAATTTGATGTATAGCCTCAAGTCTGTGATTTTGACTAAATCTGGAACAGATTTTTACAAAGAGGAACTCTTCTAAATTGGTCATGTGACAGGACATGAGGGTGTCCAGGGACTCCAGGGGATTAATCGTCAAATTAATCGTTATCGGCTAAATACCACAATTAATCGTGATCAATTTTTTTGCCAATATTGCCCAACCCTAGGTTTATTTTATTTTATTTTTGCATGCCTGAACACACTTTATTGCTTAAAGTCCAACACTCACAATTATTTATATTGCATATCCAACAAAATGTAATAGAGACATAAACAGATACTTTTTTTGTGGCAAACACAGAAAAATAATTCAAATAATTTTATAAATGTAGTTTGCTGCCTTCCATCATGTCATATTTAGTTCTGCAGAAACTTCCAGCTTCAGATTGAAAGCTTGACATGATGACTTGCAAGTTAATTAGGCAAATCAAGAGGCTGAACTCATTGTTTATGTTGGATTACTTCCTGCTCCAAAATGAGTTATTTCTATGAATTCAGCAAGTGCAAAATTGAAAGCTTACATTGCTTAAGATTTATTTAGTGTATTTAGCAGCTGTTTTCCTTCAAAGTGACTTTCAGGTGTGGGCAATCAGTGAAGATTTGCTTTGTTTTCACTTTTGAGGCTGCTGGTCTGGGTCGCCTCCGGCCTAATACCCTGGTGCTGGGCTTCAAGAACGACTGGAGAGATGGTGACATGATGAACGTGGAGACTTATATTAGTATGATCCAGTAAGTAGTCCCATTTCAAGGAAGAAACATTGTTAACCTCTCATGATCCAAGGCTTAATTTAACAAACACTGGCTGTCAATTAAGACAAATGTTTCAGGAAGTTTTGTTTTTGTGCTTCTGAATAATGTAGGAAGACAAAAACATTGAACAAATTACAGATTTTTCTTTTTTAAAACACAAAAATTTACTTCCACTTTATTATTTTCAGCATTAACAAACCTGAATTGACAGTATGATTTAAACATTATGTTTCAAAGTCTGTCCTGATTTTTTTTAATTTATTTTTTTATTTTTATTGTTTTTGTATTTAGTTTATTTTTTAATATGACATTTATTTGGTTTGTTTGGTTTGTTTATTGCATGAGACTCCATGTCTGGAGTCTCAAAAGTTTCATTATTCCTACTGATCTGCATTTTTGCTTGGTGTAGTTTTTTTATTTGTTCTTTTATGATCTGACTGATTTTGTGGTGAAAGTAGGGGTGCACGATAGTTATCGGTCCGATATCATAACAAACAGAACCGATAATATATGTTCATGTTTGCCAGCACGGCAATGAGAATGCGTGTTTTTTTTGTTTTTTTTTTGACTTTATGGTCAAGCCACTTCCCGCCCCGCGCGACCCGAGCAACGTTCAAGTGGCATTGGAAAAAACAACTTTCTCACTAGAAAAATAATTAGAATACTCAGTGCTGAAAAACAACCAATCATTTTAAGAATTATTGATATTATTTTACCAACTAACCCTGTATGTTACGCACAAACTTTATAATTATAAACATTAGAACAACTACTCCCAATTTGAGAACAGGTAATGTCTGTTACCTCCTGAATGCAGCACAGAGTCCGTCTGCTAAAATGCTAACAACAATAAGATATCACTCAAGAACTGATCGAGACTTAAATCATTGCTGAGGCTTTTGACAAATCCAAATGATGGAAATGATGACAATCAGCTGTTCACCCTCACTAAAAACCGAAGCTTTTATTTCCTTGTTAGCCACGGTTTACCAGCTGAACAGCTACTGCCTCTCTGTGTGTCTTCCTGTAAGTATGATGCAGTCGTAATGCATTCACACTCAGAAGTACTGTTTCAGGTAGAAAAATGTTTTAAAGTCATATATTAATAAAAATAAAAACAAATGTACTTTGAATCTAACTTCTTTTAAGAACCGCTACTGATAACCGATAACTTTCTCCTTTAATGGCCGATAACCGATAATAACCAATAACCGATAACATGGCCTTCATTAGATTAACTGATACCATGCCAGGAGATAAGACTAGTCAAAAATGGGTAAGATCATAACATAAATAAACAACACCAAAACCAAATGACACTGTAAATTATACTATTTGAAATAAACTCTTGGCAAACAAACATTTCTTAAAATATATCAAACAAATCAATTTCTCAAATGGCCATTTTTAAAATAAGGCACAGTAATTATAAAAAGACCTTTGATCTCAGATTTAAACAAAAGAGAAAAAGTCATTCCACAAGTTCAAAACAGATAATGCACAAACACAAGTTATCATGCATCCCTAGGTGAAAGACTAAACTCCCTCTTAGTATGTGTACATTTTAGTTTTGATTAGTCCTCAGAGTAGTACTATTCACATTAGTAGTGGTACTAAACACCCACTCTTCATGTGGTAACCTAGAAAATTGTTTTCTCATTCAGCAGTGTCATGTGAGACCAAAAAGAGTCTGAAAGACTTGAGCTGGAAGTGTTGGGATTATGGCATTAAAGCTGATGGTCAAAAACGGTTCACTCTGATGGAATTACCGTTAATTTGCTCAGTAATGTACTTCATCTGTGTACTAGGAGAAAAAACCCCAATGAACTTCAACCTGTAGTGTTTCTCTTCCAAATGATCAAAATTCTTTGTGATTTGAACATTTTTATTTGTGTGTTTTTCATTCTTAGTGATGCCTTTGACTTCCAGTATGGTGCTGTTGTTCTGCGACTGAAAGAGGGCCTGGATATATCTCATATCCAAGGACAAGGTATCAAACATGAGGCATAAATCATCACACCTGCAGGCCTTGGCTCACTTCACTGATGTTTATCTATTGTATGGCTAGACTATAAGAAGAACTGCAGATACACTCAAAACTACATACAAGATCGTCTACTGTATTTATTCATGTATAATACAAGAAATGTAACCCTAAAAATCATCCATAAAGTAGGGGGTAGTATTATACAAGGAATATTGATGATTATATTTTTTTAGGTTTTTTAAGCTCAAACAATGATGATCGTATTATACATGAATAAATACGGTAATTATTTCTCCTGCGTCTTTTTTTGGGGTAGTTTCTAATGTTTAACTGTTTTTATCCTGAATATTCTATTCAGTAGTTTCACGGTGCGCAGCGCTGCGGCTTCTGAMTAAATGAAAATGATTTAACACAGTTGTTTATACTTTAGGCAGCTCTTTTTATCCCACAGCTGACCTGCTAAAAATGACAGATTTTATTTTCTGGATCTCTGACAGACGGACTTCAATCTCTGAACTCGTAAAGTTCTTTTTAGTTTTCGCTGTCATTTTCATGAATGAATGAACACTTCCTTCTGAGGCAGGAAACATAGCCTTATATGGTGTTTTTGGGGTGGTAATTATGCTAATCTCCTCTCCTCGTGCACGAGCAGCTGGATAGAACAGGTGGAATTTACGCAGCTCATTTACACACTTTTCCTGAAGATAGAAGAGTTTGTTGAATCTGACGTGACATGTTCATACGGAACCCTTTGTACGAACAAAAGTAAGAGAAATTTAGGAGAAGAATACGAACATGTTCTTGCATGAGGCCCATTGTTTTTACATTTTAAGTTATTATTTATTTTAAACACTATTACGGGCCACACTCCACAAACCATTAATGTATACAACTTGAAAACTTGTCAGGGTTTAAGTTTGGCTTGGTTACAACAAACTTGGGTTTTCTGAGGACCAGGGTTGTTTAGATGCTGAAACTAATGTATTCCATGTACCATCAGTTAGCTCTCCAACATTATAGTGTTATTATGTATTTACTTGTTTCTTTTCTCTCTCCATTTGTTCAGATGAGCTGTTATCCTCCCAGGAGAAGTCTTCTGGAACAAAGGACGTGATTGTTTCCATCGACACCAGTAAAGACTCTGATGCTGACTCATCTAAACCGTCTTCCAAGGCCACCAGCCTCCAGAACAGTCCAGCTGTACAGAAAGGTCAGTCAGACCCACATAAAACACCTCAGTTAATTTTATACTCTATCTACAGAGTACAACATCCAGGTTTGATATTCATTTAGCAGAAAGTTTATGTATGATTTTGTAACACAAAATCCATACAGGATCCTTTGCATTGTGTTAGTTGTATTTGTTAGTGTGTCTGTTCAGAGGAAGGCCCGTTTAACTGTCCTTTGAGACAGCCCTGTTTGACCAATCAGTGGTTTCCTTCATTGTGTCCCTGCTTAAGGCTAGCCTCCACCCTGACAGGAACTCACCCAGACCCGTGACTTTAGTTGTCCCAGTGGGCCCAGTTTTAGTCCACAGATGTTTTTGGCCACACTGTTTTTGTTTGAACATGTGTGTTTGTGTGTGGGAAAGAGAGGTCACTAATTGTCATACACACAAACGAAGCAAGCAAACAGCTTTGTGAACCAAACATTTTCAACTACAGGAGAGATCCAAAAGCAACAGCAGGGTTAGAATAGTTTCCTTTCACATGTTACTGAAGCTGTGTGCAGAAAACTGGGTAATCAACATGTTGTTAATGTTCTGGTTCAGTGAAAGTAAAAGAAATGATGTGATTAAGATGAATCTCTCTGTTTGGGTAATCCTCTTAGTGTCCCACCTGAACAATCATCCTGTAGCTCCTCTCCTCTAGGTAGGGTTAACCTAAACCTCAATCACCCTCTTTGCCTTTGTGACATTTTTTGTTTAATCCAAGCACAGTCTCTATGGTTGAGTCTGGAGAGTTAGAAGAGATTCATTATTTAATGCTCTTACACGTCCATGATGGGTGCTTACTGAAGGCCAGCGGAAAGCAGTTTGATTTAACTAGACAGTCCTGGCTCCGAGTCACCGGTTCAGGTTTTATAGTTCTGGTCAGGCATGAGAAATTTTCCAGAAACCAACGAGGAAAAAGTGGAGCTTTGTGGTTTTTTTTTTTTTTTAAGTTATGTGAGCAGAGTTTCCTGTTTACTCCATGACACTGAGTGGCAGCCTATTAGTAGAAGTTATACATCTCTAACTGGTCTCTTTTGGGTTTTTAGTTCGATTCAACCAAAAGTCTTTCTCTCTGATCACAGAAAAACCTCAAAGACGCAACATTTCATATCAAAATGTTTTGTTTTTTCTCCTTTTTACTTGACTTTTCCCAGATGACGACGACGATGGCAAAGCTACAACTCAGCCGTTGTTGAAAAAAGGCAGGAGATCCATTTCATTCCGTTGCCTTACATCTCTTCCTGCTTTTTACTGATTTCTCGCTCTTGGTGTTTTATTACTCTTGCCTTCTGTCACCTCATTTTTCACAGTGTATTTTAAATTCCTCCTGAACTAACATACTGTCCCTGCACCCCGCTGTCTCTGTCTTGTGTCTCTCCGTCTGTTCTGTGTTTCCGGCCTGCTCGCTGCTTGGACTAGGGTAATAACATTTAGTCTTTTCTACTTTCTCCCACTTTCCTCTTAACAGTCACTAGCTTCAAGCTGAAGCTAAGTCTGTCTTTGGTGCCTTTCACTCAGTTTAAGTCTTCATTGTTTGTGAGTGGTGATATTCATTTTTTTTGTTTTTATTCACTGCTTCTTCTCTCTGTAGAGGTGATGATCTTCTGTAGCTTTCTTTTCCAGGATGAAAACTGCTGTCTTGTTTTCATGTTTCAAACACACCTGAGTTTCTCTTTATTTGTGTTTGGGTATTAGCATTGTTTCTTCTATGTGGGTCACATCTTAAAACAAAACTGTGAATTTTAAAGCTTTAAATAATGTAACTAATATGTAAATTAACAAACCACAAACTCACAAATGTACCTTCAGCTAAATAAGCTCAAATGGGTTTTATGGCCTGTTGCTTGTTGTTGCTGTTGACAATATCTTTCTTAGATTTACAGTCCTTACTGTTGGTATTGTGGCATTACAGAAAATCATCTGACATTATGAAAATCACATTAATAACCTTGAATTTTTGATTTCAATTTTACAATGTAGAATTCAAGTTGTTTGGCTGGTTTTTGCTTTCATGGTTCGCATTTGGTCACTATCTGGGATATAGTGGTCTTTACCCAAGTAGGTTTTTAAAATATAATTTATTTATTTAGTTTTATTTTAGAAATGTATTCATTTTAAAAACAGAACAACTATATACAACAAAAACATGCTTTCAAAAATTAAATAAGATGAAAGGCAGCAGAAGAAGAATAAATCTTATAATATCTGCCCCTTTTATCCCCAGAAGATGTCCAAACAAAAGTAATTTAGGTCTTATTCACACCTGACAGTCTGGTAGACTTGGTTCGATTGGGGACAAAAACTGCAAGCTTTTTTTGCTTTTTTGGTGCAAGCTGCACCAACATTTTCTGTTGGTGCAGTTTGAATTCACACTGCACTTTCTCAACCGAACTAAATCCTGTAAACAACCTGTTCCCGTCCTCACCTGTGGTGGCGCTGCACCAAGAACCAGTAAAGGAATCAACATGAAAACCTCAGAAGAAGACATGGAGCGCAACTTCCTTCTTCACAAAGTCTAAACAAACAATAGTAACGTTACATTTTAGTGTTTATAGGGTTTATTTTTTGTTTTTGGCAAATGTGCTAAACAAATAGTCTTCAACAATGAGCTCAGCATGAGAGGAAGATGAGGCGGAACCACGGAGAGTGTTGTTTTGCACAGAAGTCGGCTGAAGAAGCTCCGTGTTAATCGAGTAGGAGCGCATCCAGCTCCACAGTCATGATGTCCACCTTATACAGTTGTCCAGCGAGATATTTACACCATATAAGTAAATTTATTACTGTTATTAATCAGAATGTCAAGCGGTATAGTCTGCTTCCTGCTTTTGGAGTGGTCTCTGGTCCGCTTGGCGTTCACACGTGGAATCGAACCGCACCAGAGTTCGTTTCAATCGAACCAAGACCTAGGTTTTCAGCGGGGCCAGAATTCACTTTTTTGGTCCGAATCAGAGTTCGATTATGCATTCACACCTCCACAAACGAACCGGACTTTCCAGGCAAACGAACTAGAGTTCGATTAAATCGGACTACACAGTGCAGGTGTGAAAATGCCCTAAGACACACACAAAAAAAGAAAAATAAAAAGAGTGGAATTGTTAAAGAGTGGTTCAGGGAGCATGAGACATTATTTTCGCACATGAATTGGCTCCACAGAGTCCATGAGAATCTTTGGGATGTGCTTGAGAAGGTCAGACTCTACAATCATGAATGAAAGATCTTGGTGAATAATTAATGCAGCACTGGATGGAAATAAATCTGGTGACATGCAGAAGATTATCGAAACAACGACAAGTGAATGTGTGCCGTAATCAAAGCTAAAGGTGGTCCAACAAAATATTAGAGGGTGTGACCTTTTTTTGTTTTGTTTTTTCGGTCAGGCAGTGTATTTTCTAAACCACAACATTAGAATCATTATTATTGTTATGACGTAGCTTTGCAGTCAATCCTGAACAGTTTGGGCCACAAAGCTAAAAACCTCCTCTCTTTATTCTTCACTCCAGTCTGTGAGCTTCAACCAAGCCAGCACGTCACAGTTTCACATGTAGCTTCATGATGCCATGAAATGAAATTCCATGTGACGTTTCCATGTGTGTGTTTGTGTTTGTGTGTTTTCTGAACGTATTCCTAGACAAGAAGAGTCCGTCTCTGCCTTTGAATGTGACTGACCAGAGGCTGCTGGAGGCCAGCCAGCAGTTCCAGAAGAAGCAGGGGAAAGGCACTGTGGATGTTTGGTGGCTGTTTGATGACGGAGGTGAGTCTGAGGGGGGAAACGGTCTTGAGTTTACCTGTTCTCTGTGGTGGATGTGTACATGTGTGGCCATTTTTACTCATAGCAGCGATGGCTTCAGTTTTCTTTAGAGGTAACCATTGCTAACACAAGAGGACAGATGTTTTGAACACATCTGCTGCTTTTTGTATCAATCAGTCTATTAAATAGTGATGGAGTCATCAGCTATACTCTTTCACAGCTGCACCTGTTTATATGACCTAACTGGAATGAAATTAGTTATCATTTTGTGCCAGAGTTTACAATAAAATTGGGATTGTTTTCACAACTGTTTAGGCTAATAAAGCTCTGTGCATGATTTAAATATGCATTTGATCACTCTTAACATAATCTGAAGAAAACTGAATTTACACAAAAAAACTGAAGCTGCAGCTCACTAATCCTCATTATTCTTACAAGTGACAGGTTTGTGTACATAATAATAAAGTAATATTTTTAAGCAGAAACAAAGGAAGTTAAAACAATGTTGTTTCTATGGATTAGAGGCATAATGTACTTAATTGTAAACTATCAACATCCATCAGTATTTGTTGTAAACAGTGATGATCATTGGAGTGGACAGATTTGGTATGGGAATCAAAGTCCTGCTTTGAGAACTCTGTCAGTCCAGCTGGGTGTGAAGACATGAACAAGGCCTGAGGCATGTCAGACACTTTAAACTGTGATCAGTGACAATTAAAATCTGGCTCATCATCATCATCATCACCATCATGCCACTGACAGCCAGTGCTGACTCTTCAGTACAATCTAAACTGTATAAACTGCACTTGTTTTTGTTTGCTTAGTTCTAGTTGCTGCCTTTAAATTCACTTTATGGAATAAAGAAATAAATACATTTTCATAAATCAAATGTTTGGATTGTTGCAAAGAATGCTCAAATGCAGTAATAATGTGATGATCTGTCACAGAGGTGGGAGATGAGCAGTTTATCATTTTTCATTCAGGTTTGACCCTGTTGATCCCTTACCTACTGACCAACAAGAAGAGATGGAAGGAGTGCAAGATCCGTGTTTTCATTGGAGGAAAGATCAATAGGATTGATCACGACCGCCGGGCGTAAGGATGATACTTTTATGTTCTTTTGGACTTTTTATTTTACAACATGAGTTACGACTGCAGTTAGTTTGACACAAATAGAGGATTTATTACATTTTCCCAACAGTTTCAGTAGTGTGTGTGTGTACGTATACTAGGGGTGTAACAATACATTGATCTATATTGATATATCAATTTGAATGGTTCATGACTCAGTTATATCGAGGCAAAATGAAAATATCGATCTATATCGTCATCATATGCTCGATGTGAATCGATATCATATGCCAATCTAACAGTCATTGTGTATGATGGGCATATGATATCACATTATATCAATCGCAGACATGTGAATTGAATTGAAATCATATTGTGACAGACTTTGTGATATCTAGAAATATGGAATCATCATCCAAACATATCCATGTTATATCGTATCATGATAAAGCTGGTGATTTACACCATTAGTGTATACACAAGTTTTTACTGTCTAGTGGGGATGATTTTTGACCATTTTCTTGGTACACACAGCCTGGTGAGGACCACATGGACAAACGGGTTAGTCACATGCAAAAGAGAGCCATCGCCTAACAATARGCTTGATTAGCTCTATTGTTCATAGAGGGTCATGTGCCCCATCACCTGACGTATTGGTTTGGATGCTTCGGCTGTGGTTATTTGGTATCGTGTTATGTGTATGTAGTGAATGCAAGCGGGGTTCAACGTCCCCGTTCAAAAGAATGAGCCAGCACAGACGATCTACTTCATCGGGTCAGGACTCTGCAGTTTACACTCATCTACAGGCCAGCGGTCACTCTTTCAAGGATGAAGATGTTCTCATCCTTGATAGAGAGGAACGTTGGTTTCAGAGAGGAGTAAAGGAAGCCATCTTTGAGAAGAAAAAACCGTCCACCATTAAACAGAGGTGGAGGCCTTCGTGTCCAGTTGTCTTCCTCCTACAATGCTGTTATTTCAAGTATGACTCAGCCCCCTGTGAGCAAAAGATGTGAGTCAGGGCCCCAATGATACCAACACAAATAGGGAAAGAGGGACAAAAACAAGGGGACGTTGAGCCCCGCTTGCATTCACTACATATACATAACACAACACGGGTCAGGTGACGGGACACATGACCCTCTATGAACAATAGAGCTAATCAAGCCTATTGTTAGGCGATGGCCCTCTTTTGCATGTGACTAAATGGAGCTAATCAAGCCTATTGTTAGGCGATGGCCCTCTTTTGCATGTGACCAACCTGTTTGTCCATCATGTGGAGGCAGTGCTTATAAGGCTGAGTTCACTTGAAACTCATCAGACTGAAGAAGTCTCTTAGAGGAGAGACGAAACGTTTCACTAAAGAAGACCCCATCCAGAGGACCTACTAATTTTTTCTTTTTGATTTTTTTCTACCTGGACTACTGAGATGCATCAGGATGTAAGACTATGGTTTTAAAACACATTAGAAGAAGTAGAATAGTTAGAAGTAGAAGAAAATCAAAGCTTAGGGGCAATAACAATATTTGTTGAAATATAAACTGACCTTGGTTTTGATATGAAATATGTCAAATTATTCCTTTAGAGATATGAATCTGGAATTTGGAACACAAATAACTTATTGAATATTTCCTATGTTTTCCTCTATCAGCAGTTTTTCATTAATTATGTATTATAATTAATTTCATGACAAATGTCACATCAGCTAGGTTGTTGCTCTTTCCACATTAAAGTCAAATATTAGAGAAAAATCCTAAATTAATTATTTAAGCTTTAATGTTGATCATATAAGAAGTCTGCATTAAGTACATTTAAGTGTTTTTTTAAGTAAAATGAGAAGTGATCAAGGCTTCATCTATCTCAGATGGGCCGATCGGTAATATAAAACATGTTGCACGGCAGATAAGGTTGTCACAAGTACAGTGTCTGTCCTGTAGGCCTTGAATTATTCACGTCTCTGTAAACAGTGAACACGCCCGTAAACACACGTACATGTGTGTTTTCCTGTCTGCAGCAACTTCCTGTGTTCAAACTGACTCCAGCTGCAGACGCTGTAGGCTCACTCTACGCTCTGTTTTTGTCAGCTGCGTTATCTGTATCAGTCATGTCAGCTGGACAAAGTGTCCTTTCATTTCTAATGGGATCTTTTTGCTAAAACATTTCATGTTAAATTAAGCTGGTTTGAGTTTTGAAGCGTTTAGTCATCAGTATACAGCGTTGTGAAAAAGGATTCACCCCTTTTACAGATTTCTTGGTTTTGCATTTTTGTTGCAAAAGAGTTCTGTAATGAAACAGTTTTTCACAGCACAGTATGTCCTGGTTTGTCATTGTTCACTTGCCATTTTGAAACTGTTTGCTTTGACTTATTTAAAAATCCACGAGTCCCTGATCATTTTATAAAAAAAAAAACTAAAGTTTTACTTTTCCAGTTTGTTTGAAATCACAACTGCCAAAAGCTTTTGTTGACAATAGACGTCAGTAATTAGAGTTGTGGTTTGTGTTATTAAGTAAAGGTCAGAAGCTATTAGAGGAGACAGTGTTCTGAAGCACGTCCATCCTGTGAACATCCTGTCTCTGTGGCCGTTTTTACTTCTGGATTACTGCTACATTATTGTCATTAGGGTTTGACCACTAATCCTCATTTCCTGTTATTTTGAGAAGTTTTATTGAATCAAAGACTATTATCATTTTAGAAACATAGTAGACAAACTTCTGTGACTGTCAGTTTGTTGACAGACCTGTGTTACATAATCTACTGTCCTCTGAGAGCAAGGGGACAAACCTTATGTCTCTGTGCCAAGTCTCATCCTTGTGTCTGATGATTTTGGCATGAAGATTAGTGGTAGGGAACAACTGCTGTATCCTGAGCAGTCCTGTCTAAAGTACCTCAAAGTGATACTTAAGTAAAAGCTTAAAGAGTAACTTACCCCAAAATTAACTTTTTTTAGCTGATAAACTGTCTAGAATGTGTCTAAAATGTTATATAGTACTTTTTCTGTGCTAATTTTGATGTTTTTGTGTGTATTTGTTCAAATCTGTAATATTTGGTCTAAAAACGTCTTTTTGCTGCGCATATGGGTGGAGCAGTGGTACTGCAGGCTAATTTGCGTATTGGTTAACGGCTCTCCACTGTGACGTGGTTCTGCACAGTTTCGTCACAGCAGCTGTGTTCTGGTATAAAAGCCTCTCTCTAAGACACGCCCCTGCAGCAGTCAGAGGGTGGAGCTGTTAGCAAACTTAGCATGATCGTCTGTTGACCTTCAGCCTCGGGTGGAGAGAGGTGCTGGCTGCTCTCTCTCTCCCCCTCTGTCTCTGTCTCTACACACACACACACACACACACACACACACACACACACACACACACACACACACACACAGAAAGAGACCAGCCGTCCTGCAC